AGGGCAATGAATGTACAAATGTGCTTTACACAATTGATGTATGTATGGATTGTGATAAGAGTCGTATGAGCCCCTAATAAAACGATTTAAAAAAAAGATAACAGACCAGGACTCAAGTAGAAAGCAAATGTTTGAGAATGATGATGGCAACAAATGTATAAATATGCCTGACACAATGGATGGATGTATTGATTGTGATAAGAACTGTACGAGCCCCCAATAAAATAATTGAAAGGAAAAAAAGTTGTGGAGAAAAAAAAAGTGTGGAGAGGTTGAAACCTCTCGTAATATACCTAGTTGAGCACCTGCTCACAGTAGGCACTCAAAAGCAAAGCTGTTCCCTTCTCTTCCCCCATCAATTTCACCTCCTGTGAACCCTCCGCCTCTAGTACCAGCCTTTGATCACCACCTAACAGCAATGAAAAGGGGTGGAGAGGATGGGGCGTGACTTTTTCTTTAAGCCCCACGCTGCATCCAACATGACGTCCAGGAGGAACTGAGAAGGTAGCCAGCAGTTTAGTCTCCCAACTACCTGAGACACTGTGTTAGCCTCGAGCTCAAGACTCTCCCGGCTGTTCTTGAGTACTACGCAAGGTTGAACGAATTCCACAAAGCATAGTACCTATTAAATGGTCCTGAAACGTAGCCTGATAACTGGTGGGAAAACTGAAAAACAGCAAAAAGAAGCCAACTTTAATGTTGTCATGCTGATGGCTTCTTTTTCGTGATAAAAGCTGGTCGATTCATCCAGATGTTCTTAAGAGGAAGGTCGTTTAAGTACCTCAGTGACCCAGGAACTGCTTTGACATGGCATCTCATTTAGTTCCCAATATACAGTGTTTTATCACGATAGTTCATTAAAAAATTAAATCAACTCCCTATATTGGACATTTTCACTTCTCTACATTTTCCCAAAACAAACTACTACACATTTCTCCAAGTCCACTTCTATTTTTGCATGTTTGCTTTTACCCTTTCATTAAGATGATCCTGTATGTACAAATCTGAGCACAGACAGGCAGATTCTGGAAACATTTGCAATTCAACATTCTTTTTTTTTTT